TACAGTTTGCTGGGCCCTGACTGCCCGGTGAAGGTTAGCTGGTGGCCATTAGGCTCCATAAGCATGGTTGGACCTTCTCTTTTATTCTCCCCGTTCCGCTTTCTATGGAGAGAAAATGTGAACTACAGAAGAGGGGTGTTACTGAAACTTGTTTGCTTTGTCTGTTTTCCCTTCTCATCTGGGTTTGCTTGTCAGCTACTGAATGAGGGCGTGCCCAGGGGATGGCCTTCTGACCCAGCGGCCCCTGCTCCTTTCACACACACTCAAGCCCTACTGGTTCTGCGTCAGCTGCACTATTTGCAGGACCACCCTCAGACCCCGTGCTGCTGGCTGTTCTTTGATCTGTAAACCTCAGTCTGAGCCAGCTAGATTGAGACAGAGGAGGCTAGGCCAGTGATCTCAGAGTTGCTGTTTTGTTGCCTTGCAGTACCTTATTTGGCCCTGGTCTCACCTAAGAAAAAATCCCGCCCCCGAGCAAGACAGGTGAGGGATTGCCAACAGGTAATTCACAAAATGTGAAGAGCTATTCAGTTCAGTTCAGTCGCTCAGTCGTGTCCAATTCTTTGTGCCCCCATGGACTGCAGCATGCCAGGATTTCCTGTCCATTACCAACTTGCGGAGCTTGCTCAAACTCATGTCCATCGTGTTGGTGATGCCATCCAACCATCTCATCCTCTGTCGTCCCCTTCTCCTCCTGCCTTCAATCTTTCCCAGCATCAGGGTCTTTTCCAGTGAGTNGTTCCATGTCCAGTTCAGACTACATGAAAAATGACCACCCTCACTAAAATAAAAAGGAACAGAAATAACAACAACCTTTAATACACTTTTTTTTCCTATTGATCAATTGAGCAAAGATTTTTTCAGAAAATAACTCTCAGGGCTTGCAAGCAATCGCTGATAGGAAGGTAAATGGCCATTCTGAAAGGAAGCTGGCAATGTGTGTCAGGAACTGTACAATTTTTCATTCTAGAATATAATTTTCCATAAAAGGTTAGGAAGATAGAAGAATTTAGTATGAGATAAAGGTGACATTTCAAATTAACAAAGAGAGACTTTCATTTTTGGTGATATTGAGGTCAAAGGACCTGGAAGATCTCCAGTTATAAAAATATCTAGAAATGTTGGGTTAAATGTAACAAAATGCCTAACTGATCTCCAAAGATAAAAATGGAATTCCCCAGAGGCCAAGCAATGAGAATGACTGAAAAGCAGAGGCACAGATGAGCTGACACCGCTGATGCCCCACCGAGATTATCATTTTGAATAATCTAAGACCCCTGGTTTAATGTTGAGGTGGGGACAGGAGGCTAAGCCTGTTGGCTGTGTGGATGTGTGGAAGAGCGAGTTGAACCTGAGTCTCCAGTGTAGTTAAGATCTTTGAAAGTTTAAACCTGGAATGGCAGAATAGTCACAGTAGCTTTTAACTTTGAGACAACCTCATCCTTGCTTGACTTAACTCTTGGAAAGGCCACTATCAAGAGGAAGGGCCTTAACCTTTGAGATTCTCTCCACCTGGAAAACCCCTGCCGTAACACTCAGTTGATTCCCTGTATCACCCTTCAAGTTCTAATAGCTGGTCTGAACTCCAAGAAGTTTTCATGATAAGATATATTTGTGTTCTCTCTTCTTCCTATAGTCCATTATTTGATCAATTTGTCAGGTGTATCAGTGTTTGAAATGTGATCCTACCTCAAGGAAATTATCCCACAAATTGCAGGATGCTCATAAAAATTCCCAATCATAAATAATAAGTGTATGCAGTATGATTTATTTCTAATAGAAATAAAAATTGGAAGCTGCTCCATGTCCGAAAAGAGTGGACTGGCTAACTGAACATAATGTAGCCATTAAAAGGAATTAAGTTGCTCTCCATGTATGAAAATGACATATAACATATTATTGAGTTTTTAAAAAGCAAGCTAAAGAACAACATTGTTCAATAGAAATGGAATGCAAACCACAGAGTAATTTCAAATTTTCTAATAGGAATATGTTTAACTGTCAAAAAAATAGAAATAGATGAAACTAATTTCAGTAATATACTTTATTTCACCCAATAGATTCAAGTATTATTTAAGCATGTAGTCAATACAAAATTATTGGTGAGATATTTTACATTATTTATATAAGTCTTTGAAACCTGTTGTGTATTTTGCATCAGTGACACATCTCAATTCAGATAAAGCACATTTCAAGTACTCAATTGCCACTTAAGAATAGTGGTCACAGTAAGAGACAGTGAAGCTGCAGAATGAACATATAGTATATATATCATTTTGAACAACTCCAAAACCAGCTGTACAAGAACTGTGTAGACATAGAAAACACTTGGAAAGATAACCAAGAAATGGCTAAACTGGCTGTCTCTATGAAACTGGATTATGGGGAAAGAAGTTTTTAAGAGTTTAGTTCATAAACATCTGAATTTGAATTTATTATATGATTACATATTATACTTTAATTACTAGATGAGTGAAAGCAAAATGTTTGCTGTCTTCAATGCGGTAAGTCCATGTATAGTAAAATTTACATTAAGGAGATGATAACATGTATGAACTGATATTTATATACAGTGATGCTCTTGGCAGCATTTCTTACAATAGTAAAAGCTAGACTCCACATCATGTCCAACAATAAGAAAATTATTCAATAAATTCTGATAATTCTCTATGATGGAATGTTTTTCAGAACATGAGAAAATATTCATGATATAATTTAAAAGTTCACAATGCAAAACTATCCATAATATGGTCCAGCAGCTCTACACCAAGGTATACATTCAAGAGAATTGAAAACATATGTTCATATGAAAACCTGCATGTAAGTGTTAATAGCAGCATTATTTCTGATAGCCAAAAAGAGGAAACAACCCAAATGTCTAGCAGCTGATGAACAGGTGAACAAATGAATATATTCACATAATGGACTACCATTCAGCCATAACAAGGAATGAAGTACTGAAACATGCTACAACTTGGAAAAACATTTGCTAAGTGAAAGATGTCAGACATGAAAGACAACATATAGTATGATGCCATTTGTGTGAAACATCAGGAATAGGCAAATCCATGGAGACAGAAAGTAAATTCGTGGTTGCTGGGGGCTAAGAAGAGGAAAATTGAGAGGGGCTAGTTAATAGGTATGGAGTTTCTCTCTGGAACAATGAAAAAAAATGTCTTGGAATTAGATGGCGGCGATTGTTGCACAATGTTGTGAATGAACTAAAAATCACTGGATCTTACACTTTGAGATAGTGAATTTTATGTTATATAATTTTTTTCTCAATTTAAAAAATATGTACATAGAACAAGACCCCAACTTTGTAGGGAAAAAGTAAAACTAATGTGTTAAGAGTTCTGGTAGATTATAAATGCTTTTAAATTTTTCTGATTTTCTCCAGCACACATATATTTTAAATGGAGGTGGTGGTGGGATAAATATGTTTAGGAAAGGGTAGTCTCCTCTCTTGACAAGATCTATGTGTTTTGGAAACAGCACCATGTTCTCACTTGGCAACCTAACCAAGGGTAGTAGATTCAGCCTGCTAAGCATATGTCTATCTGTAAAATGGTTAACTGTATTTAGTAAAACGGGCCATTTACCTGTGTATAGGGTGCCAAGTAGCAGACCTAAACCTTTCCTTTTCTGTCTTTTAGATGTGTTAGACATAGCTTTTTGAAACAAAGCAGTCTAGCTTGTCCGGCTCAGGGCTCAGGGCTTCATAATTAATCTACATTTTCTTTGACCTGGCTGGCTTCCTGCACCGGCCTGGTGCTTCTGCTTCTCCACTGGTGAGATGAAGTGGTAAATGCTTGCTTCAGTGGAGTGGAGAAGCGACTACATTAGGTGAATTTTTCAAAGTACTAAGAGTTGGAAGGGACATATGTATACATATGGCTGATTCTCATCATTGTGTGGCAGAAGGCAACAAAACATTGTAAAGCAATTAGCCTCCAATTTAAAAAATAAAGACATAAATAAATGGAGGGAAAAGAAGAAGATGGAAGGACCAGAGAAATCAAAGTTTATTCAACCCCAGTGGAGACTCAAATCACCAATAAATAGCTGAAGCAGACAGAGCTTATGTAACAACTCTCTGTCTCTCAATAAGTAAACGGATAGGATTTGAGCCATGGGGTGACTGAGGTTTCTCTTAACCCTTGGGTGGATGATACTTTTCATAGGCTCACAGGAATTCTGAGTTGTCTGCTGTGCTGGCTTAGCAAAGGTTTTTGTTTAGATCTCACCTGACATCTTATTTTTCCAAAAACTCCATAACAGGAAAATTAAGAATTCACAGCATAAAGATAAAATTGCACAGGTTTTGGTTGCCTTAGATACTCTGTACTTTTTAAATGTTTATGGAGTGGGCCTTCATTTACTCTAGCTGCACAGTTTGTTCTAACTGGAGTAGAACTTCGTGGACTAACAAAGAAAGGAGCCCGAGATGTAGGAAATAAATAAGCATGCTGCTGAACAAGTTGTAGAGCATGATCTCAGCTGTGTTTTGAAAATATACATGATTCTGTATCTATGTATCCACCATCTAATCTATCTACTGTCTATCACCTATCTATTTATCATCTGATCTACTATCATCTATCTATCTTGATGAATGGATAGAAATGGCCAGATCATTACCACTGCCTGGTCCTTGCAAGACTCTCACTTTTTACTCTATACATTTTTGTACTATTAACATTTTAATAGGTCATTTTGTCACAAAAAAAGATTTAATAAAAATTACCAACTGTAATCCTAACTACCTCTCTGACAATCCTTTCAAACATATCACAGATTACCTGGAAAGGGTTAACACAGACAATTCCAGAAGGCTGAAGTGTTCAAATTCCTGATTTGGTGGTGGAGGTGGGAGGCAGGGTTAGAGGGAAAAAGCACCAAAAAGTGAGGAGGGGAGAAAAGAAGAGGGCTGTTTGCTCCATTCGTACCTGAGCCAATAGCATGAGAGTCTCAGGCTCAACGCCCATTTGTGGGACTATTTCAGGCATCAGAGGTTGCATCTGAATTCACTGTCACTGTCACTTGTCAAAGAACTTAGGCAACTTCCTGGTTTGGCTGCTTGGAGGCTGCTTCTCCTTTACTGGCAAGGTAAAATCTCAAGCCTCAGCTTACCTTGTGATTTGGGATGCATGTTTTTTTTTTTTTTTTGTGGTGTATTGACTTCTTTTTCCACAGGGCAGTAAGCTGCTTATAGAATAGGGCTTTATTTTTACTAATGATAATGTTAACACTAAATTTCTAACAATATGGAATAGTTCTTCCTGGTTATTCTTTGTACAGGACAAGACATAGTCTGTTGAAGTGTAAGGAGACTCTTCCTTGCACGGAATGGAAGGGATACCTATGCTTTCCTTATTTAACATTAGTTTTCATGTCATTCTTCCTTGGTTTTGCTGAGAGCATGGTTAAATTTTCATGGTGATGATGTAGCACATAGTGAATCTCACAGTAGATAAGCATTCAGTGGAACACTCTGCTAATATTGTAGAATGGTTATTTTGCTTATTTTCCATCTGAGTGAGAAGTCTTAAAATTGCCCTCATTCATTCAAAGCTGCTTTACATGTGAAAGGAGTTTGAAAAGAGATGTCTGGCAAAGTCACCCCAGTGTTTAGGTCCAACTGTAGCTGCCCCACTGGACTGTATCTGTTCTTAGAGTCACAGTGACCCCTTCTTTTCCCCATAGTCTTTGCTAGTCATGGACCCATACGTAATTCAGATGCAGGACCATGGGAGCCTCCCCTCAGTTCTGGATGTGCATGTCAACATCACTGGGAGAAGCTCCGTGCTGGGAAAACTGAAAAGCAGGAAGGCCAGATGGTCCGTGAGGGCTTCGGACATGTCCAACAAAACTTTCAATCCCATCCGGGCCATTGTGGACAACATGAAGGTGAAGCCAAATCCAAACAAGACCATGATTGCTTTATCGATTGGTGAGTTGAGTACACTTAACCAAGAGCCAGGCATTGTTCCTCTCACCCCCATCCTCATGGGTTGGGCAGAGAGGATGGAAGTGGAGGGTGGGTCTGGGTACTGGGCTTGGAAGAATAACCTCTTGGTGGTTCTTGAAAAGGGGACCCTACTGTATTTGGAAACCTGCTGACAGATCCTGAAGTTACCCAAGCAATGAAAGATGCGCTTGACTCAGGGAAGTTTAATGGCTACGCCCCCTCCATTGGTAAGTTCCCTCTGAGACGCTAATCTGGCAGTTTCCAAATCATCTGTGCTCTTCAGACGGTAATAAATTTCTAGCAGTTCTCTTTGCTTTCCCGATGCATAATTCCTAAGGAGAGGCTAAGATAATATGGCTGTTGAATTTGGGGAAAGGAGTCTCAGAATGTTTAACCTCAAGCCACCAAGGTCCAACTTCTTTCCTGGCTTCCTCTGGGACTATGGCACCTCCTTGCTCTAGGTTTCCATTATGCACTCTGCTCAAATAATGCTTCTATCCTATCATTGCTCTTTCTCCACGAGGCCTTGAGTTTGGCTGCAGCTGCTTCTTGACAGAGCTGTCTAGCTCCTAAATCAATTTACTTACTGCTCTATGAAAATACTTCTTGGCGTTATTTCTCCTCCTCTGCACATTCAAGATTTATTTTAATTATGGTCCTGGTCACACTCTCAGTGTAACTGTGCTTGTTTCAAGGCAGAAACAAACAAACAAAAACAACAGCAAAGAGTGAGTTGTTCTATTAGAGGACAGAAGGTTGTTTAAGACAGGAATAATTTTATTTAGGTGTAACTCTCTCCATATATTGAACATTCCTACCCTAAGCGTTTTGGTAAAATAAGTGACTCCTTTGTTTCGGTGTCACACACTTCCCCACTGTGTGTATGTGCAGAATAAAAACCAGCTTCATGCGAAAATAGAATTTAAAAACACTTTAAAGAGATATGAGGGACATGATTTTTAGGTTGATTATTTACATTTTATACAGCTTCATAAATAAAAATCAAAACAAAATAAGACTAAAATTTAGTTATAAAAAGAGTTTATACATAATGAAAGGGAATATGAAAAAGAATATATATAACTGAATCACCTTGCTGTACAACAGAAATTAACACCACATTGTAAATCAACTATTCTTCAATACAATTTTTTAAAATGTTTATTATGACCTTTATATTCAAAGTATTAAGAAACTGATTTAACCTGAAACCTAAAACCAAGTCTGCATTTGACAAATACTCAGAAGATATGAACACTTCATGCCAAAGGAAACACAGATAATATTTATCTGTGTTTTTTATTAACAATTAAGGAAATGCTGATTAATTTCAAGAGAACTATCTGTACCTATTAAGTTAACAAACATTAGGAAATATTGCCTCTAGCTTTGGTAACGGAAAATAATCTTTTTGGACAGCAATTCTGTAAAACATTATAATTGGTATGAAACTGTCTATACTTCAAGCTTGCAAGCCAACATTTGGAAACATTGCATGAGAATATAATTTAAAAGGAAAATATTTTAATTTAAATATAAAAGGAAAATACTAATAGGTATACAATACAATGTGAAAAAGTTAAAATGAACCCAGTGTAACAAACTCATTAATTACAAGTTTTCAAATATAATCCCTGAAAGGGATTTAAGAATAATCTAAATCCTGTATTTTAGATTAAATAATCTAGAAGAAAATAAAACATAATCACAGTAACCAAGATGCTACAGAGTATTTTATAGTTTGGTAAACTCTTTTTGTTATCATTTATACATTTGTGTGCTTATTGTAAAATTATAAGGTATAAAGTTAATCTCCTTTAACTATAGTGACTGAGAGCTGAACCGAATGCTATGTGCTCTGGTCTGGGACAGAAGGTAGCCTTGAAGACCTGTGACTTAAGGGCATCGCTGTCAGCTGTGGGATGAAAACTTCCAGCTTTCTCCTTCTGCTCTTTTCTCTCAGGCTACTTATCCAGTCGGGAGGAAGTTGCTTCTTATTACCACTGTCCCGAGGCACCCCTGGAAGCTAAGGTGAGCCCTAGACAAGGTGCCCGCTCTAAAGCAATACCAGGCAAACTCTACCCTTTGTTTCTGTTCCGTGAGGAATAAGGGTTTCAAGGGAAACAAAAACTAAGGATAATTTCTCTTTGGCAATTCCAGGACTTTTTATATGGGGAGGCCACTATTCAGTGAGTATGTTTAATGTAATTATAGTATGATAATAACATTGCATACAACTTACATGATGTCTGTCTCAAGGAGGCTCAAAGGACTCAGAGGTCACCCTATATTTGCTTCTCTGCAAAAGATCATTGAAAAACAGTAATTCATATATACCAAATAATTGAAAATTTTAATTTTACCAATAGGGTCTTTTATTAATCTGTAGTTCCCTTCACTTACCTAAGGTCACTTAGATGGGAGGATCGAGTTTCCATGGCATATTGGACTGATGGCAGGGTCAAGTTTAAATGCCCTCCACTCTGTTGTTTATAGATAGGGTGGAGGTCAACATTTCTTAACCTTAAGGGGAGCCCTTTGTATTTCAGAAAAGAGCCATGCTTCAAATCTCTGGTCAAAAGTAAATAAACAACCAGGTGAAAAAGTCCAAGGTCATAATGACCTCTTATGGAGGTCTGCTGAGTCACAGCCAACCTGTCCTTTTTAAAGTGATTTATTTCTTTTAAGTGGCCAGCATTTCCAACAACCTCTAGATATGGACATATATAAACATATCCGTTTCTTTCCATTTGGGCCTAGTACAGTCCCCACTACTTTACATAGGATTTTTAAAAGTAAGCTAATTTTTGCTTCCCACTCATTCATTTGATAATCCCTTTTCTCCTGTTGCTGTTGGAACCCCTAACAAAACAAAACTTTTCTTCATAGGATGTCATTCTGACAAGTGGCTGCAGTCAGGCTATTGAACTATGTTTGGCTGTGTTGGCCAACCCAGGGCAAAACATCCTAGTTCCGAGACCCGGCTTCTCTCTCTACAGGACTCTGGCTGAATCTATGGGAATTGAGGTCAAACTCTACAATTTATTGGTAAATGACTTTTTAATTTTAGATACAAATTATAATTTTAGATACAAATGCTCAATTACTACTTCATAAAAATACATGACCATTATCTTAGCAGAGAAAGATCTGGAAAGTCTGAGGCCACAGACACATTTTGTGACTTATTTATACCTTTGAGTGAAGTGAGTAGTCTTCCTAAATTTTTCAGAATCATCTTGTTTCACTTTTTTTTCCCTCCCCAGCCAGAGAAGAATTGGGAAATTGACCTGAAACAACTAGAATCTCTGATTGATGAAAAGACAGTTTGTCTTATTGTCAACAATCCATCAAACCCTTGTGGGTCAGTGTTCAGTAGACGTCATCTCCAGAAAATTTTGGCAGGTAAGTCCAACAGATTTCACTTGACAGGAAAGAAGATGGGGATGGAATCCTTTAGCTGTTTCCTGGAGTGAGAAAGAAGTCCTTTACTAAGTTCCGAGACTAGTATAGAGGTTGGAGGGCTCCAGTGGGGTCCCTAGTGAGTGGTGTGCCACTGCAAAGGTAGAAAGGAGGAGAAAAAGACTTGCCTCTTTATCACTCCCCTCATGTGGAAGAAAGGATTTGAAATATCTAGTTAATCAAACGGCAAATTCAGGCTCTGTGCCCTGGAAGGCTCTGTACCATGAGAAGAATTTGTAGTTCTTAAAGAGGAAGACAAAACCCACAAACATGAAGTGTAAAGTATAAGCCCAGGTAAACATTTAAGTGCTAAGGCAATTCACATTAAAAATGACATCAGCATGTTTCTCTTATTTTCAGTGGCTGCAAGGCAGTGTGTCCCCATCTTAGCTGATGAGATCTATGGAGACATGGTGAGTCTGGGCAGGATCTAATTATTTCATTCATTCCCGAGAGTCAGGGGTTGTACATATTACTGGGTTGGGACCAGTTTCCTCATTTTAGGCTTCTTTTAACCCAGACAGGACACTAGGTTAAATGTATTTGGATAGTTCCCTTTGAAGCTTCTTGAGATCCCAGTCATGCTTCAGGGTAGAAAGAGCCTGTAAATCTGAGGCCCTGTGCTTAATGATAAAAGGAAAATTTGGGGAGGCATGGGATTTGGAGGGAAGCCAGAAAACAACTGTAAGAAGCACCTCTTCTCCTCAGGTGTTTTCAGATTCCAAATTTGAGCCTCTGGCCACCCTCAGCAGCAATGTCCCCATCCTGTCCTGTGGAGGGCTGGCCAAGCGCTGGCTGGTTCCTGGCTGGAGGATGGGCTGGATCCTTATCCATGACCGAAGAGATATTTTTGGCAATGAGGTGAGAATATATATATATATATATTCTAAATATTTATTTATTTGTTTACCTATTACTTGCTTACTTTATCTCACTGTAGTGGTATAGATGTGAGATTTTCCTTTCTTGGCCCTGTAGTTCTGTGTGCCTGGAAAGACACTGGATAAAGATAGTACTAGTTATTTCTCCCCAGAATTCAGTTTTTCTGTGTTGGTGAGGAAGTTCCATCTACCTACAATTTTATTACCACAAAAAAAGAAGCAACAAGCAGTAATGATCCCTAATACTATTTGTGGTCTTACAAGGTGCCAGTGCTTTATGTACTTTATTTCAATGTAATTCTCCCAACAACCCTGTGAGGCCAGTATTAGTATTATCTCCATGTTACAGCTGATAAAAATGAACTCAGATAGGTTGTACAATTTTCTCAGTCACACACCCAGTCAGTGTGTGGCAGAGATGGGCTACAAACCCAGGTGGTCTGATTTAAGAATGACACGAGGCACCACCGCGTCTCCAGATATCAAAAACTAACCCTAACTCTGCCTAGATAGAAGATAATAACAACAACAAAAAATTAAAAATAAATAAAAATAAACACTTTATAGAAAGAATGGTCAGAGCAAGAATCTCCACAGCAGGGATGCTTAAGAAAGGCTAAATAATGTGTTTGCTGGGGGGCTTTTAGATCCGAGATGGGCTGACGAAACTAAGTCAACGGATCCTGGGCCCCTGCACCCTTGTCCAGGGAGCTCTGAAAAGCATCCTGTGTCGCACCCCTCAAGAGTTCTACCACAACACTCTAAGCTTCCTCAAGGTAAGGGCAGCCTGTGGCCTTCCATTCTGGGAGTCAGGGAATGCCTCCAGTGGAATTTTGAGCCATTATGGCTACCTTCTGGCAGAAGGTGGCATCATTGTCAACATTCATCCATACATTTCTCTAACTTCTGGCAATCCGCTCTGCTCCCGGCCTAAAGCTGTGAGTGGGCAGAGTACTTTTTTATTATTAACTCCTTATGCCAGCAGAGCAAACCTAAGTTCCCTGCCTTTGATGTGGGCTGTCTCTTTAATGACCCAGTTTTCCTTTAGCTTAAGTTTTCATCCTTGATGTCTCTGCCTCTTTTCATAGTCCAATGCGGATCTCTGCTATGGGGCATTGGTTGCCATCCCCGGACTCCGGCCCATTCGCCCTTCTGGGGCCATGTACCTCATGGTGAGTATGTGGTGGCGGGCACCTGTTGGCAGGTGAGGGAAGCCAGTCTTTAGGGCTCCAAGGACAACCAGACGGGCCCCTGAGCCAGTTTAGGAACTTCCTTGTTCTGAATTGTCCCACTGACATGGTTTAAACTCAGTGCTAAAAAAAGAAAGAAAAAATAACCTCTTAAAATGACAACTTTTCAATACAGAGAATTATTTTACATATAGATACAGAGATGATAGGACACAAATAAGAGGCTTTCCACACTATTGTAGTTCTCAACCAGGGGAGATCTGGTTCCCTCAGAGTGGGGATATATAGGAATGTTGTTTTCAGAAGGACTGAAAAGTGCTATTGGCATCTTGTAGGCCAGCAATGCTGAATATTTTTCAATGGGCAGGTTACTTCCATGCAATCAAGACTAGCCTGGCCCATAGTACCAATAGTGCCTTTTTAAAGGAACACTAGCATCCTATTTTCAGCTTTCATTTATCAGCATCCAAGAAAGAACCCTTCAATAAAATATTAATATGAATATATCCTCTCTTCCCTATGAGAAATTCCACAAGCCATAAGAGCAAGAACTCTTAGTTATCAGTAGTGGAATTCCAAGATATTTTTTAGAGCAGTCCCTGCCCTGATTTCTGGCATAGGGAGGTGGCCTGTTTTCCCTTCTTATGATCAGTTTGCCTCTCCCTGTTATTGGTACAGGTTGGAATTGAGATGGAACATTTCCCAGAATTTGAGAATGATGTGGAGTTCACGGAGCGGTTAGTTGCTGAGCAATCCGTCCACTGCCTCCCAGCAACGGTGAGTGCTTACATCCCTCTCAGGTTTCTCTAGAAACTCTCAATGGTGTATAGTGCCTTGGGAGCTCTCCCTGAGCTGGTCTTTAGCCTTTTCCTCCCCCAACACAGTGTACAGTTGGCCTTTATATGTGCAGGTTCTACATCCAAGTATTCAGCCAACTGGGGATGGAAAAATACTAGAAGAAAAAAAATTCCAGAAAATGCCCCAAAGCAAAACTTGAATCTGCTGCAGCCTGACAACTATGTACATAGCATTTACATTGTATTAGGTATTATAAGTAAGCCAGAGATTGTTTAAAGTACACAGGAGGATGTATGTAGGTTATGCAAGTACTATGCCATTTTATATACAGAACTTGAGCATCCTCGGATTTTAGTACTCTCGGAGGTTATGGAACCAACCCCCCTATGGATACTAAGGGACTACTGTACTCTTTTTTTGAAAAGATTCTTACTGGTGGGTGTCATGACCTCTATTTAAAATTTGTTTCTTCCTCATCATTATCCCATATGATTCAGGAAGAAAAATTGTAGTTGGACATTCTAAAGGACAGAAAATCAAGCTTGTCCCACAAATTCCTTTTAAGATAAATTAACTCAGTTACTGGTTCAGCTTCTCAGTGGTGGGAACTGTTAGCCCTGGGTAAACGGTGTTGCTGCCTCTTGCTGATTAGGGCCCTGGCTATACTAGGGTGGCCTAGTCACTGATTCAACTGCTCTGAGAATAATAGGCTTTTATTTTTGCAGTGCTTTGAGTATCCAAATTTCTTCCGAGTGGTAATCACAGTCCCTGAAGTGATGATGCTGGAGGCCTGTAGCCGGATCCAGGAGTTCTGTGAACAGCACTACCATTGTGCTGAAGGGAGCCAGGAGGAATGTGACAAATAGGATGGAGTCCATTCTCCTGAGTACGTGTGCCTTCTGGCTGGGGAAACTGGACTAAGCCCTGCTGCCCCTCCAGGAATCAGGTGGTCCTGCTGGGAGAGGAGCCTCACAAACACCACATCAAGGGCAGAGAATTGCTCTGGCTTTCCCCCAGCTATAGCCGCACACACACACTCTGAACCCCAGATTTCATCTCACTGTGCTCTGCTGGAGTGACTCACTAATTCATTAACCCGCCCCTCTCCCATTTGACTTCCTCCTTTTATCTTGAGAGTACTAGGTGAACAAAGTTGCCCAGGAAACAGCAGGGACAAGAAAATCAAGAGCTTAGGATTTGAGAAACGAATCAATCCTAAGATTGAGGGAACTTGTGCCCCCAACTATTTCCTCTTACTCTAAGTAAGAACACACTCTCTCTAGTCAGGTTTGAAGCCCAACTTTTCTGGCTCACTTCAGGTATACCTCACTGTATGTAGTAGTGCTAGAAGGAAAGAAGTTGGGGACACATGTATTTGGTTAATTTTAAACACATTAAGAAAATTTGCCAATTTGAAGGATACATTACAGAAACTTGATTTTTTGGTAGAGAATTATTTTGTGACACAAATAAATTTAATTGATAGAATTTCTAAATATAGATATATGTATATCAGGCTTTCTTAAAATGAAGGCATATATGTACTAAAAAAAAAGGAGGAATCAGAGGACCTTCCAGAAATGCTGCTGTGTAAGGGCCAGAATTATCCTCACTTGTCAGTGTTATACAATCATTATTACTTTTGCTGTAACATTGATACTGATTTATTGATATATATTATCTTTTCATATGTTTTCTAAGAAACATTTATATTGACAAGATCTTTTATTTTGCCAAGGGCATAAATTATTGTTTTTCTTTTTTTATTTTAATAAATTTTACTAAGTATTCTCTTCTGTGATGCCATTTTTCTCCTCTGTGGGGAATTTCTATCCCCAGGTGCTGCTTATTGCTCAACCTGGTTGATGTATTACCCACTAGGTTTCATTTATTTCTTTGTTGCTTAGATCCACTAACCACTTACTGGGTAACAAGCTGAACTGGTTCAGCTAACCAAGAGAATGAGGTGTGTCCAGGATCTTTTTTCAATATGAGCTTTTTGTCTGCAAATCCTCTTAGGCACAGTTGCCTAGTTTTTTTCCTCACCATTCCCTTGGAGGAGGGAACCTGAAGTTATCTTACAAGGTTAGGGGAAGGAATGTATCATAATCATCCTGGAGATTCCTTACTAAGGGATGTTTTCCTTGTCTAGAATAGGAACTTCGAGTCCCAACCCTGCCAGCCACACTCAATTAACTTCCTTTACAAAAATAAACATCAAATGTCCCCTTTCCAATCTAGTTGGACTTTAGTGAAATCAACTAAAATTTACCCTTCAATTTTCTTCATCAAATCCAAAAGGAATATACAAGTGATTGAGATGATAAAAATTTGTTTCCTGTATGCCAACCCTGCCGACTTTTTGAAAATTCCTGGCTCTTTTCCTGTACTTCCCGCCCCAATTCCCAAGGATGTTTGTCCAGAAATAAACAGGAAAACTTAGTGGTTTACACAAAACGTTTTATCTTCACACATAATGTATAATTCTATCCAGCATTACGGCATCTAGACAGATGTCTTAAGTTTCCAAATTTCCTTGATATCTACATTTTGGTAAGGGAGTCAAATGAACATTCAAAAATTAAAACACACACACGTATTGGACAAATTTCAAACGATGCAAAAAACCACAAAAAACCCAAAACATTCATGCCCATCCTTCAGCCACCCATTTCTCTCCTGAGGTAATCACAGGGGCAGTTGCTGTCCAGTTCTTCGAGATTATTCTGTGTACACGTAAATGTTTACATTAATTTTTCCTTCTTCTCTTTTTTTTTTTTTCTTCAAAGTTAACTATTACTTGGTCTTCCCTGGTGGCTCAGACGGTAAACAATCTGCCTGCAATGCGGGAGACCTAGGTTCGATCCCTGGGTTGGGAAGATTCCCCTGGAGGAGGGCATGGCAACCCACTCCAGTATTCCTGCCTGGAGAATCCCCATGGTGAGAGGAGCCTGCTGGGCTACAGTCCATGGGGTCGCAAAGAGTCGGACATGAATAAGCACAACTTTCTAATTCAGCTTCCTATGGAAATCAAAGGAGGGATGACATTTCTGAGGTGTCCATCACATCATGGGTGATCCTAGACTAAAAAAAAAAAAAAGGGAACCATTGGTCGGGGCTGCTTCCCAAACAAGATTAAAATTCTCAAGAGGCAATTTCCAGCCGCTTTGAGGATGGCGACAGCAGGGCGTCCGAGTATGCGAGGATAAAACGAAGGATGCGTTAACAGTTCGCAGACAAAGGCTCGAGGCTGTGAAGTCTAACCAAAGCATTGTTTACCCAGTAACTGGCGAGTTATCACTGACCTGGTACCACAAACCATCCCACTCTAGTCCCTAGCAACCACGAACGCCCGGGTACGCACTGGGTTGGCGGCTTTCGAAGACCGGGGTTGGGGAGTGAAGTGGGTGTTGTGGACAGTGGGGAAAGAACCCACGCCTGCGCAGGCGCAGTTTCGGGGGGAACGGGGCGGGNACCTCCCTCTCCACCCGATCCCTCTGGGTCTTCCTAGTGCACCAGGCCCAAGCACTTGTCTCCTGCATCCAACCTGGGCTGGTGATCTGTTTCACCCTAGATAATATACATGTTTCGATGCTGTTCTCTCAAAACATCCCACCCTCGCCTTCTCCCACAGAGTCCAAAAGTCTGTTCTATACATCTGTGTCTCTTTTTCTGTCCTGCATATAGGGTTATCATTACCATCTTTTTAAATTCCATATATATGCGTTAGTATACTATATTGGTATTTATCTTTCTGGCTTACTTCACTCTGTATAATGGGCTCCAGTTTCATCCATCTCATTAGAATTGATTCAAATGTATTCTTTTTAATGGCTGAGTAATATTCCATTGTGTATATATGTGCCATAGCTTTCTTATCCATTCGTCTGCTGATGGGCATCTAGGTTGCTTCCATGGACATGATGTTCATACTCTTACTTTAAACAGTTTGCAGATGGGTTTCATGTGGTGACATAGAAACCTCAAATCTGGATTCTCTCTGTGGGTTAGATTATTGTACAGCACCTTCTGAAGAAAGGGTTGCTTTCTGATATTACAGTTGAGGTGTATTATGTAGGAAGGAGGTGATGCCAGTTCTGGGAAGAAAAGAGTCTGTGAATGAGCATGTGGGTCTTAATTTTTGTCAACGTTTCAGGCATGGAAAGTAATTCTTGCTCCTTGAGATATTTACTCACTTGAAAACTGAAATGCAAAAGTACATTATCCACCGTTTAAAAAATAAAACCACAGGGACTTCTTGCTTTAGCAGCACATGTACTAAAATTGGAACAAGATAGAGAAGATGAGCATAGGACCAGCAATCTGAATTCAACAGCAGATTTGACCAAGTGGGATTTATTCCTGGAATATGAGAATGGTTCTACACTGACTGAAAAAAATCAGTCAATGCAATAAAGCACAATAATAGAATGAAGGACAGTCATACCACAGTCAACACAATTTTAGAATATCCCCCAGTGCCCCTTCTGTTTGTCTTTTCTGTTATTAAAACTCCTGGATTAGGATCACTTCTCATGTAAATTTCTCAGCTTGGGGTTCCAGACCATTCAGGTAGGTAGAATGCAGTTGAACACCAAATCCATCTGAAGGGATGCCTATGGTTACAGATTCTCATGGGAGAGGTTTTTTTATATTCCAAAAGGCAGACCAAGAGAGGTTAATTTTTAATTCATCCTTTTGTTCAAGCTTAGCATTTGGAGGGTCCTGATTTCATGCAGAGTTTAAATTCCGACTCCCTGCCTTACTTGAGCCGAAGGCCTCCTCTCCGCATCTTAAAATCCAAACCTCTTGATTACTGAGATGTGTGCTGGGTTCAGTTGCTCAGTTGTGTCTGATTCTTTATGATCCCACGGACTGTAGGCCACCAGGCTCCTCTGTCCATGGGATTCGTCTGGCAAGAATACTGGAATGGGTTGCCATTTCCTCCACCAGGGGATCTTCCCCACCCAGGGATCAAACTGGTGTCTCTTGCATTGGAAGGCTGATTCTTTACCACTGAGTCACTTGGGAAGCCTGGTTACTGAGATAGCACCAGCATAACCATACTCTTTAAAAAAAAAAATTAGTTTTGGCTGCATTGAGTGTTTGTAGTGGAATGCAGGGGCTTCTCTCTAGTTGAGGTGGGCAGGCTTCTCTTGTTGCAGAGCACAGGCTCTAGAGCAAGAGAGCTTCAGTACTTGTGGAAAGTAGGCTCAGTAGTTGTGGCATGAGCAGGTCTAGTTCCTGGACCAGGGATCAAACCCTCGTCCCCTGTTTTGGAAGGCAGATTATTAACCACTGGATCTTCAGTGAAGTCCCAACCATAATCTTTGTTTTTTTTCCTTCTAGTTTTTAGTTCTCTCTTTGTGATCCTTGATAGGTAACCTTACCCTCTTGCAAAATTAGCTCTGAATCTGAAAGTATGTCTTTTATATTTGATTTAACATATCTAGGTGTTTTGAAGCCCACATTTTTATTTTCACATTATCTGGTTTGTGATATTGTTATAGAAATTCCCATACTTTTTGGTCCCTCCACCTCTTGCTTCCTCCTTCCATTATTTTCCCCTGGAATTCTTCTTCCATGGCAGATAAACTTCTGTGCCATTCCCAAATTGTTGAGAATATTTCCTTCACCTTTTTTCCTTAAGTGTAACTTGGCTGTTTCCTGAAAGACAGTGCCATCCTTTCAGCCTGTTTGAAATTGCTTTTTTTCTCAGTCTAGAAGTCTCATTTGAAAAGACCCTGATGCTGGGAATGATTGAAGGCAGGAGGAGAAGGGGACAACAGAGGATGAGATGGTTGGATGGCATCACCAACTCAATGGACATGAGTTTGAGTAAGCTCCAGGAGTTAGTGATGGACAGGGAGCCTGGCGTACTACAGTCCATGGGGTCGTAAAGAGTTGGACACGACTGAGGGACTGAACTGAACTGAACTGAGAAGTCTAACATATTGATTGTCCTTTCAGGATCTCTGTTCTCTGAGTCACACAATAACTATCCTTTAACATATAGGCTATAACACAACATTGTAAATCAATTATACTCCAATAAAATTAAAAAAAAAATAAAATATAGGCTATATTACTTTATAACCTTTCTGTATACTCTGTTTACTTAGGACCTTGACATGTGGGAAATTTCAGTATTTCTGTGGATAATCCAACCAACACCTATTAAGGCCTCCTGCCTATCTGGCTGTAAATCCCACCCCTATTATGTCCACCCACTCCCACAGCCACACCTTTGTTTCTTAAGGTGATCTTGAACTAGGCTATTTTAGGAATCTTAACCCTTGATATATAAGTAACTCGCTACAATTTGCTTGCCCTCCAGCTTGATCACAGTTTATACTTAGACATTATTCAACATTCTGATCTCTCCACACTTCTCTCCCAAGTCCATCAACTCCTCTGCATTGTTGTTATTCTAGTTTTTTCCAACATTTACCCCTGGTGCAGTACTCAGCCACATTCTTGCTAGCCACTTGAACTTCTCAGCTTCCTTAACTCTGTGTAGCATCTGCTGTGGGCAGTCTTTACCAGAAATTAATCTAACCCTGAACCCTCTCCATTTCTATACCCTACTCCCTGCCAAAAAAAGGGCAAATTGGTGCTATTGGTGCATGGTCTCCAGCCTCACTTTGAAAATCCTTTTACTAGTGCTGCTTTAGAAGCCTTCAGTTGAAGATGGCAGAGCACAGAATGGAAGGAGCCCAAGTGCCTGAATTATTGCTTAGAGGAGAGGACCACATCAATGAGGACATTTACTTCCCCCATATGCTTCACCAGGGGGCATACAATACTAGTTTGTCCCAGGTTTGTTGATGCTAAATTCAATCACTTAGTTAAAGTGGTGTTACCTAACAGAGCTGTGATGGGGGATTAAATGAAAGACCCAGGGGGCCTGGTTCATAAACTTTACTTTTCCCCCATTCCCTGTTAGTCTTCACTTTGGGCAGATACACGTTCTTGACTACACTTTCCCACCACAAGTGCCTCTTGGTGGGACTGGTAGTTATCACTAACTTGAGTCAGAAATTACTTAAAAAAATGTTTATTAAAACATGTTATTACTTAAAAAAATATTTTATTATGAAACTTTCAGGGGACTTCCCTGGTGTTCTAATGGCTAAGACTCCCAATGCAGGGGCACAGGTTCGATCCCTGGTTGGGGAACTAAGATCCCACATGCTACACAGTGCAACCAAACAAATACACAAGTGTAAATAA